ATCTTTTTCCACCCTGTCCATTTCCCTGTGACCCCCACCTACACTTGTGTCCCCTTCTTCCACCCTTCCTCCATATCGCTGCAGGACTCCATCTGTGTCCCCTCCTACCACCCTGTTTCCATTTCACGGTGTGACACCACCCTGCCTCCATATTACTGTGTGACCCCACTCTGCCTCCATTCCAAGGTGTGACCCCACATCTGTCCCTTTACCACCCTGCCTCCATTTTACTCTGACCCCACATCTGTGTCCCCTTTTACCACTCTGCCTCCATGTCACTGTCTGACTCCACATCTGCTTGATCTCTATCATGTGTGTTCTGGCAGAATTTCTCCTTTTCTGCTTGTCTCATACATATGTATACCCACCATCCTGCCTCCATATAACTGTGACCCAACATCTCTACTCTCCTTCCACCCACAATCTTGCTTCTGCTTCATCCTTTTCATGTGTCTCCCTCCATTACCCCTCCATCACAACTCCTCAGAACCTGTCTGACCTCACATCTGTTACTAATTAACCCCCCCCGCCGCCGCCGCCTTTCCATACCACTTGTGCTTCCTATTTCCATCCCACCATTGTGTCTCCACTCTGTGATTCCTGCCATGTCTATTCTGCCACTACTCCTCAATCCCGGTCTTCCCCATTGGGAGATACCGGGAAATCTTTCAGTGGTAACACCAGTTCCCAGGGACAACTGTCTGATAGGGGAATTCCTCATCAACTTCCTGCTGTATCGTTAGGACAGGCAATAAAGGCAAATTTCACAGACAGCCAAACATCCCAAAAAGCTGGCAGGGTTTTAACCTTTTCCTACCCTAAAGCTAAAAGAAGGTTTTGGCTATACAAACACTTTCTTCTTGCCGTTATTTTCGATTCCTTCTTCTGAGGGATCAGATTTTTACCTCGTGCTTTATAAAGGAGTTTTCTTTATTACAGTTCCATGCTGATGAATACACAAACTTGTATTAATTTTAAAGGCAAGCTGCAAGACCAGGTATACCCCTGGAAGGATCTAGGTGGTGTTTTGTAATTTGGACTCTGCAAGTCCCGGCACCCTACCCTGCCGTTATTGGTGGCTTGTGTTTTTCTGCCCTGCCATGACTGTTTCAATAAACAGTCATGCAACATAGTTGTCTTCTAGTCATTTAATATCCCCAGTAATGTGCAAAAAGTACCGCTGGAACTGCAGAGCGATGCACTGTCACAGTGAGCACGGTTTTAAGTTGCTTTTGATAAACAGGCCTCTGTCTTGTCCATCAATGGCAGAACACATGTCCCTTTCAAAGAGCCTCACAAAAGAGGCCACTGGAGGTGACATTTCAATGGCATTTTGCAGGACTGCTGGGTTTTATGTATGAGAGCAGCCTTTCTCAACCTGGGTGCCTTCTGGCTTCCTTGGGGATGGCTCAAAATATTCACACCGTGTCATGTCTTTTCATGGTGCAGGTGGGTCAGCCACCTTTTTATTATGGAGATGAATGATGCTAACCAAGGGTGGGTGGGATGCATTAAAAAAACAACAAAAGTACATGTCTGTACAGGCCTGATATGTCTTGGAACCTCTGCCATGCTTCCTCAGCTACGGCTCTTGATGTGATGGTAGGACTCTGATGTGAAAGGGGAAACTGCACTTTTTTTGATGTATAGGCACAATGGTAGCCTGAGCATGCTTGAATGGAGGAGGTGTGAGCGGAGAGCAGCAATACTGACTTATCTCTGAGGAAGGAGCAATGGTCGGGTGGGGCCTTAGTGAGTAGAAGGTGATGTCAACTGAACAAGTCTAAGGCCCCATTCACAAATAGGTGTTTTAAATCTCCTTTTTTTTGTGTGTGTGGCAATGCTCAACAAGAGGAATCCCATTGTTTTCAAGACCTCTGTTCACACTTGAGCATTGTCCCCAGGCACGTAAAGTTGGAAAAAGCACATTAGCCTCTTTTGGGGCAGAATCATGAGTTTTGGCCTCAGACTTGGAGTGCCTAAAAAGAAAAAAAAACTCATGAAAAATGCATGTGTACACACATTTTCCAGATGTATCCATTTAAAAGTCAGTATGGACAGAAAAGCATGACCTACCAAGTCACGCATAAAAACCCCTGAAAAACGTGCGTGCAAACACACAAAAAGAATCCACCAAATCATCTGTCTACTCTCACCCTTGGGTGCAAATGAAGCCTAAAAGTAATTGAAGTCTGCTGCTGATATTGAAATGTGTGTCAGCTGTAATTCCAGCACAGCTAGCTCATCATGCATGTCTTTGTGTCCATACTTAAGGTGCCCATACACTGCTCGATTCTCGTACGAGAATCGGGCGAAATCCCGCGATCGTACGAGAATCGAGCAGTGTGAACGAAGACGTGTGATCGTTTCTACTGTACGGTCGCACGTCTTTTGTCGAACCAACATGTTCGAAAACCCGCCGAGAATCGTACGATTGTCGGCGGGTTTCTAGCCTGCTCGTCCGATAGCTGCGGAACGGGCCGCTGTGCGCACGCGCACACTGCCCGCTGTGCATTGCGGTCATCGGAAGCCCACCCCTCAGCGGGGCGGGCTTTCGATGATCGCAAGTACGATCTGCCCGTCCAAGGTGGGCAGATCGTACGAGCTTTCAATAAGCATACGACCATCGCAAGACAAAAGTCTTGCAATGGTCGTAAGGGGTATGGGCACCTTTAGTCAATGGGGGCAATTCAGTATAGTCTTAGCGACACATTTCTGGTGGTATAACTGTAATATGGAGTCTAGCACTAAATTCATATAACCCATACAACATTTTCAGAGATGGGTCCGACCCGTGCGACAAATTCAAGAAGTTCTTATTTGTGACAATTTTATAATAATTTGCTATGACTGACAATTTCATTAGGAAATACCAACAGTTCTGAGTTAAGCAAACTTGTTAGCCAATAAGACCAAAGTTATGGTCATTCTGCCGCACCTTTGCGACCGATTCATGTACACGTTTCTGACATGTATATGAACTTGTCGCACTCACAGACATCGTCTCATGGAGGCAAGCCACACTTCTAAATAGTGTCTGTGCAATTCTTTATTACTGGATAGGAATGTCTTTTGATAAATATTGTTTAGATGTTTAGATTTCATTACTGATTTGTGAATGTACCATAACTAACCCCAACACGGGGTTTTGTTTGTCTCCACAGTGAGGAGTGGGAAGACCCACAGTATCAGGACACAGACTCTGATGTTCCAGAGCATAGAGAGAACCGCGTCAAGGTGAAATGGACCCAGGAGGAGGTATGTCCCCCACACCATACTTCAAGTGTAATTCGCTTTTTTTTTTTTAAACTTCCAGGTGCTTGTATGACCAGCCAGCTTTCCTTTCAAGTCCATTGGGAGCCTTGGATTCCAGGGTGCTCTACTATAGAAGTTTTGAGAGGCTTTTTTTTGGTTGAGAGCCTGGCCCACAAATGGGGGGACCAGATATAGCTTCTATTCTTTCAGAGGCATTGCTTTTATTGCCTTCTAGAGTAATAGCAAAAAGTCTAAATTCCTCAAATGGAATTTAGTACTCTGAGCAGACCTGTTGTCTGCCTATACCATTCCCTTTTGGCTTCATAGGTCCATGCACATATTTGCTGCTTTGTAATATAGTTAACCTCCAGCAGAAGATGATTAATATTAATTTTTAGACAAAGAATCTTATTCCCTGCTCTGAATTTATTTTATTGTTTTAACTAAATCTGGTTAACTAAATCTGGTGGAATCTGTCAAAATAGTTTGCTATATTGTCGACAAAACATCCCACTGTCAGGATGTCTCTTATCTGTTAAGGGTCTGGAGACAAGATGGCTGCTCATTTCTGATTTCAGATCTGAGATCACATGTACTAAATGAGCGGCGGCTCCCCCGATAGCCCGCAGCAGGGCTGAATGTAGAAAAAAAAAACGACCCGCCTGGCACTGCATATCCCGGGCGTTGGGCGATACGAATTCCACATCCCTGCATTACTTTAGCAGTTCAGCTCACCATGTCTACCTCCCAGCACTGATCTGACAGCCTTCTGGTGTCTGTTGTAAACACAGCAGAAACTCGTGGGAAAGGGCTGCTGCCTAGAGAATGACTTGTACAACTTTGGTGCTTCTGCTGTGAACTTTGAAGAAGAATTTATCTGCGGTGCCTGCAGCTACAGAGGTCAGCGAGGGCTTTTAAGGCCAATATACTGTTAAGCACTAGTCAATACTTCAGTCTGCAGCCTGGCTAAAGGTTAATGTCACCGGTTGCAGAAAATCTTTTTTTAAAAATCTTTTTTTTTTCTTTTCATTTTGTTACTTTTTGTAGGATGACACACTGAAAACCTTGGTGAGAACTTACGGACAGGGTGAATGGAAGACAATAGCCAATCATATGGTGGTAAGTAGTAAAATGTTTTTTCTACTCAAACAGATGTTAAGTATCAGAAAACGGTTTATCTCCATTTGAGTTTCCTCTGGGTCCTTGACTTGTTTCATCATTTGACGCCTCTTTGCTGTGTCTCGGGTGATACTAAGAAACAAAGTTTGGTTTCTGGTTGTCTGCTTCATGTCACTTCATGGTCACATGCAGTCAATCACGTTGATTGCCTTGACTGGGAGTGGCATGGGAGGGGGGGCGGCAATGGCAAAAACGTTGGGTCACTGCATTACGTTGGCTCTGTGCGTGGGACATGGCCACTGCCCAGTAAGCTCATAGCCAGGCAGTTTTGTGTTGAGTGGTTTAGAATTAGTTCAGATCTTTTTTTCCCCCATTGCAGAAATTTGTGTAGTCATTGGGACAGGAAATGAACAAAATCTCTGACAGAGGAATCATCCAACTGTAAGCATTTTTAGCAGACACATAAAAATGATTAGTTGCTGTAATGTAGTATTATTAATATTACTATTAAGATTAGGGATTTATTGGGATAAGGGATAAGGTTGTTTGTCTTTACCCATTTTAGGGATTTCACAAAAAGTGAGATGCATGCAGCAATTAAGTGACCAAGGTTCTAACATTCCCCATTCTACCAAAATGTAAACTTGGGAAGGGGAGATGCTTAAAGTTGGTTAAAAAGTTCAATTCGTCCTTACCATCTTGTATTGTGATTTGTAATGTCTTCCTTATATTGTAAAGTGCTGGGCAGCCTGTTGGTGTTATAAATCCTGTATAATAATAATAGTGTAGGGAAGGTGGTTTGTCACTTATTTGAATGTATAAACCTCTATTCTTGACCACTGATATTATGGTTACAGTAGAAATGCAGTTTAGAAACTTACAAAACTCCTTGCGCAATATGTAAGCCCCACTCAACTGAGGGGTAGATAACTGTCCATATAATCTGAGATTTCCTTTCCCTTTCTTTTTTAACATTCAGAATCGAACTGAACAGCAGTGTCAGCATAGATGGCAACGTGTACTCCACCCTGACCTAGTCAAAGGCCCATGGACCAAAGAAGAGGATGAAAAGGTGTGCAAATACATGATTCCAAAGGATCTAAATGGTTGTAATAAGTTTTTTCCAGTTCCAGCGAGATGTTTAAAAAAATGTCACTACTTCAATGGGGTGTTTTTTCTGTTTTTTTTTGTACTTGGGGCACAGCCACTTGCAGAAAGGAAAATCCACTTGTTTTTGCGGGTCAGTTTTTTGCTGGCTGTCCAACCCCACCAGTCAGCTACTCACTTCTTTTGGGGCTACAGAAGTTACATGGGGCTGTTTTGACTTTTTATGACGTTTGGCAGCTCCAGCTTTGGCTGAGCGAAAGAGCATGCCATTGCTTATGGATGTAGAATATCTGAAAAACATGATGTGCATCTCTGAATATTAAAAAAAAACCTTTGCTCTTCCTGTAGGTATTAGAGCTGGTGAAGAAGTATGGAACTAAACACTGGACTCTGATTGCCAAACAACTGAAGGGTAGGATGGGTAAGCAGTGCCGGGAGCGCTGGCACAACCATCTCAACCCAGAAGTGAAGAAGTCATCCTGGACAGAAGATGAAGACCGCATTATTTGTCAGGCGCATAAACTTCTGGGAAACCGATGGGCTGAAATAGCAAAGCTGCTGCCTGGAAGGTAAGTGGATTCCTTTTAACATGGAGCGAGCATTACAGCAGAATAAATGACCTTTAATTCAATTCATGCTTCTCAGTCTAGCTCTTCTGATTGTAGGTCATGTCCAGACTTGAGCGTTAAACGGTGAGATTAACATTTCATAGGTCACAGATGGTATGACGAAATAAGAATTGTGTTGCACCAGCAAAAGATTCATGCCAGTGGCTTGTGCCAATAAAGTTAATCTCTGGGCACAACGTTTATTTAAATATATTCCTCAGTAGCCACAAAGGATATAAACTTACCTGTTGTGTAAATACAGATATTACCTTGCAAAAGTAGAGTTGATCTCATTACTATGCTGAACATAGCCTGAGCTGTGGCTGGGATCCACCGGGTCCACCACGGACTGCCTATAGAAAACTACAGGGGGTGGATACAGGACCAGTCACACTGCACAAGGAGAGAAAGCAGCAGTGACCAGTCTTGAAATAGAGGCAAAGTGCAGTCGTTTCTTGCTGGATTGCAGCACTGATCTGGATGAAATACACAAGGTATCAAGAAAGAATACACGTCCCTCTTGTAGTTAGACCATGTTTGTTTAGCCTGGCTTTCAGTTTTAAACCTGAAGTCCACCTGTCACAAGATCAGTCTTGAGTTGATAACCTGTGTTATTGTTTAAAATTGTAGTCAGTAGTTTTCTATAGGCAATACTTCCTTTCAGTTTATCTGCAGGATGCTGCTGGAGCTCCAAAACATCCTAATTTTTTTTTTGAGTGATAAAGGGAAACACCACCTAAAAATAAAAATGAGGAAATTGTAAAAAAAATAGCATATATGATTGCTACACAAACAATTTCTAATTTGTAATGAAAAAATTACCTTTAAAGCTGCTGCAGCTGTAACTTTCTAAAATACAAAAAAAAAAATTCAATGCAATATGGCGACTTGGAGGCATTCTGTACAGTGTTGGTGTACAGAATGCTCCCAGAAATGTAATTTCCTGCTTCTGTGATTGGCTGACAGATTTTGATGGATGTCTGCAGTAAGATGCAAGGAACATTTTAGGCATCCCTTTCGATCGAAATTACATTTTTGGTGAATACTCCCTGAGGGTTAATTACTGCAAAAGGGCTGCAGACACTGCAACATTCCTCATTACGACACAGTCTGCCGGCTGATTATATTGAACACAGCCTACATTCAGGGATCTGTTTTCTGAAGGACATGGTGAAACAAATGGCTGTTTCTTCAGAACAGAAAAGGGTCCAAATATCCTTCAAAATTGGTTAAAATCCTTTGCAATGGGCATTGATTTATGCAAATGGGATTGATTTTGTTTTCCTTAAAGGAGAACTATGGGGTAAGTGTTTTTCCCCATAGTTCTCCTAAGGGTAACGGGAGGACACAAACTAGCGTCCTCCCGTCACCCAAAGCTCAGTATACCGCGAGCTACAGCTCCTGGGATACTGAGACGCCGCAGCCGGAACGGATCCCAACAATTATGTCTGGATCCACCCAGCTGCGTGAGTGACAGCTGGCTCTGCAGGATCGGATAGAGGAGGGGGGAATCTAGTCCTTCCCCTGTCACGGCTCTCTGCCGGCACAGGATCGAGAAGTGAGCGAGCGCTGGTATGTGTTCGCTCACTTCCCGATCTACTGAGCCGACCTGTGACAGTTTCATTGTCACAGGACGGCTCAGATTATGAGGCCGAGTGAAAATCACTCATCTCATAGTTCTCCTTTAAAGTGGAGTTACTCTTTAATTAATGTGTATTTCTACTTGTGCTGTCAAATTTGAGAAAACCCCACTGTTGTGTGTTCTCTTTACAGAGCATACCTAAAAAATATATTTCTTACCTTTTTTAGGTGCGTCTTTGGTAAAGGCCTGTGTGCAGATTTCAATCTACTCTGATTTCCAAATTGCAGTTAAAAAGTAAAAGAGGAACAAACTGAGCTTCCTCTCATTAACATACAATGCTTCTAGAGCTTTGCCCTTTTGTTAGAACAGACATTGTTCAATTCTAGTTTACAACTGATAATGAGATCTGCCAGCACAGTACAGACAGGGTTCATTCGAGTAAACAGAACTTCCCCCATCCCCTTCCTTAACATAGGGGGGGAGCTAGGTAGGATTTCCAAGCAAGGAAAAAAACACTTAATGTAAGCAACGGTTTTTAAAAGATATATTTTTTGTAATACAATGTGAATGGGAAGATGTCACAAATATAAAAACGGGTGTTATCCCAATTTGGCTGCAAAAGAGGAACATTATTTTAAACATAGCCATGCCCACATCACATCCTGGAATGCTATAGGTTGCCTAATTTGCATAATGACTTGCAAGGTCTAGGCTGCCCTTGCTTGATTCCAAGTAACTGCCTTTAGAGATTGGGGAGCTCCTGTGAGTTCATTGAGGTTCTTTTAGGCACTAGATGGGATGTGATATCGGCATCATAAATTGGTTTATTTTCCTATATAGAAGTTTGTTTATAAACATGGACCTATATTAAACATTTACTGGACTCATCCAACCCCTACATTTCACTCAGTGTCAACATCTATTTGTCAGATAACGCAGGCATTCATCTGACTGCTGTGTGGCAGTTTTTGAATGCTGAGTACGCTTCTGTTTTTAACCATTGTTACAATATGGATATCTAAGCACTCTTACTATTGCTGCTAATATGTATAACTAAAATAAAGTAATGGTAGTATATAACCTACCTGTGCACCACTGGTTTACATAGCAGAAATCATGTTTATCAGCTCTTCCTGTTTGTTGCCTTTGTGGGTGTTTGACCGAAATCTACTTCTTTGCTGTAAAAAAAAAAAGAAAGACACATGGGCTGTCACCGATCTTGACACACCACTCCAAAATCAACATTTCTGGGCTCCAGTTTTAAAATAACTTGTTCCCTTCTGTTCTTGTTAGCTGTCATAAAGTACCCTGCTCACTTGCAAGGATCGCATTAATGGATTTACTCTCTTGATGCGCAGAACGGACAATGCAGTGAAGAATCATTGGAACTCCACCATCAAGAGGAAAGTGGAGACTGGCGGGTATCTGAACGGACGGAAGAGCAGTGTCACTGGTGATCAGGAGGAGCGGGAGGATTCTAGCTCCCAGACTGTTGTGGAGAAGGTACAAAGTCAATCAACATACAGTTCCTTGTAGATGTCCACTTCTGAGAGTGTGTATGTACTTTTTTTTATGAGTGTGAGAGTGTATAGACATATTTTAAGTAAAAATAGATAAATATATGTGTGATCTTGCATTAGTTAATGCTGTTTTTTCCGCCCAATTACAGAGTGATCAATGTTTGGTACCCCATGACAAGGCTGAGGTTACAGAACCTACCACCTCCTCTGATATAATGGAGGTAAATATTACTGAAGTAAAGTCAGAAGTGCACAGTGAAGGTGAAGATGATGATAGCGCTGGATCCAGCCCCTCATCCACTGTCGCTTCTGTAAGCTCAGGGCCAGAGAAGTGGATGGTGGAGTACGTCAACTACCTGGTGCCGAACTCTGACATGATTGAATCTGTAAGTATCCTGATACTAATCTTGGTTTTCTTGGGTACTTCGAGTAGAAAACATTGTTAACATTCCTTTTTAAATGTGTTTTTTTTTTTTTTTACAATATGTGCAGTCAAGGAATGGAAGTAATAGCCTTTTACGATACAGGAATTCAGATATGATCAGTAATAGTCGTGGGTCAATAGGGTTTCAAACAAAAGATCAGGATAGAACTTGATGCTCTTTAAAGGGAGGAAATCCTTAATTTCATTTTGGAAAAGTGTAGAAGTCACATACCTCCTTCATATGCAACATACAAATGAGAAACTGGTACATTCAGAGCAAGCAACTAGTGCAAATGATAAATAGGTATGTGAATGCTGAACAGATTATTTCCAGCGTGTAGACAGCCGAACTGCTGTCATAGCAACTGGGCAAGTGTCCTGAAGCAAAGAGGCTTGCAGCTTAATGCCGTAGTGGCAACCGGAATATAAACTGCCAATGCATAAAACATTTTTTTTTTATCCATGCAGTGGGTACTTACCTCTCTCAAACCCCTGCTCCACTTTTTTTGTATTTTTGAATGCATAAAAAGAACCAACCAGGTAGTTCTGTGCTGCATAGTATTCTGAAATGTAGTAATCGTTGCTGGAACCAACTGGTGTCCTTCCACAAGTGAAACTTAGACTGCCTGGTCTTTTGATTCAAGTTGTCCAGTCCAGGAGTCATCCAAATTTTGCATGTTTGTTCTGGGTTTGATGGTAGCCTCTTAAGGCAGTTCCATTTGCCTGTTTTTTTTCTTCTTCTCATTATTAATGAGGACCAGGTTGTCCCTGGCTTGGTGGCCCAGGAATCCACCTCTGGATTCGAGCAATCATTCTTCCTTGGGTTTTAGAGTATCCTCGCAATGGTTGTCAGCCTGTCTTGCTGGGGTGGGCTCCCAGGGGGTTGGTTGTTGGAGCAGTCTTTTCTGTTGATCAACTTCCTGGATCTGTGGGAGATTTTGCTGCATCTGCAGCATTGGACTATTGCTGGAGGTTCATCCGATCTTGATTTCGTCAGGCAATGGTGGGTGGCATACATCAGTCATTGGGAAGGAACCAGAATTCTTACAGTGACACGAGTGGTAGATTGGATCCTGCCCTAGGTAGAACTTTACATTCCAGCCTTGTTCGCCATGTACATAGTATATCTAGTTGTATGTCTCTCAGCCACTTTTTCTTTTAGGAAGACTAATTTCCCATTCTTGCCATCCTGGATGGAGCCCCACAATGGTGTTCCAGCTTCTGGTTCCACCATCTGTAGATGGCTTAGGCAAGCCATCATCCAAGCCTTTGGTCTCAAGGATCGGTTTCCCCTCTTTCCTGTCAAATTGCACTGTACTTGATCTTTGAGGGCTTTTTTGTATCCAGCAACTGTTTCCCACATTTGCAAGCTGCCATATGGTTTTCTCTTCACCTTCACAGGTGGATATTTCAGCCTCATCTGATGCCAGCTTTGGGTGTAAGGGCCTTTAGGTGGTTGTTTGAGCTACAGGCAACCCACATTTTCTGTTTTTGTTTTTCTTGGGCCTGTTAGAGATTGTATGCTGTGCTGCTCACCCCTTGACTGGACTGCTTTTTGACATCCCGAAGGTTAGATTTCCTGTTACCCTCGATGGACAAGAAAGAAAAATGTTATCTTGGGCTGACTACAGTTTGTGTGTCAGTGTCCAATCCTCCTGTAGGTGGCAGCATAACCTGAAGGTTAAAAAAGTCTGGACTATTTTTTACAACTCCGTTACCTAACTCCCACAGTGAACATTGCTTTTCCATCCTATGCTTCTGCCTGATGTAGAAACTTTGTTACAGACGTTGACAGTTCACTCTTCATGCAACAAACACTGTGCCAGTTAGGAGACTGAACTGTGCAAAATAACACAGGTGAGACTTCTTTAAAGACTTGCCATGTCCCTGAATGGACTCCAAGAAAAGGATACAGGGGTTGCATAAATCCTTCTTTACTCCTAGTGGTATGATGGGACAGGGATTGTTCTCCTGGGGAGGAGGGACATTAAGTAAACCTATTGTCTGTGGGCAAACCCATTCACTCCGAAGGTGAAGCTGTAGTTTGTCAATGAAGCCCCTATTGGGTCTAAAAAGACAGGAATTGGCCCTATTGAGTATGTATGTTTCATTAATTCCATATGTGCCCAAGTCCTTTACTGCATTTCAGTTTGCGATCCTAGTTTTAAGCAATGGTCTGTTTGCTATAAGTTACTGCACATTTTTCACTAAATGTAATAAAGCCAGTAGATCTATATTTTAGGATTTCCTTTTCTTTTCCTAGTTGACAATGTTAGATTAGATCAATTGGGCTGCTGTCTTAGCCTTGCATCTTGACCTTCAATTTACCATTTCTTTTCTAGGACACTGATGGCTGGTGTGACCTAACTTCGTTTGAATTGGTAGATGACTCTGCTGTCAGTGATGTTGGAAGCCTTACAAACTCTACCTCTGAAAAGCCCATGGCAGCCAATGTTACAGAATACCGGCTGGATGGGCATACCCTCTCTGATTTGAGTAAAGGCAGCCAGGGTGAATTGATACCCATTTCTCCACGTCCACAAGGCATCTTCGGGACGCCACCCTCCCTGCTTAAACAACACAAGAAAAGGAAAATTACATTGTCACCTGTTACAGAAAGTACGATCAACAGCAGCATGTCCACTACAGAAGTGAACAGTATGACTCCAAAGAGCACTCCTGTCAAATCCCTGCCTTTCTCTCCATCTCAGGTATGTCCGACTACAGCTAGACCACTGGTCGGGGGGTGCTGTGATCCTTGTGAGAGGAAATATATACCTCTGTGTTACATTTGCATGACAAAAAAAAAGACTAAAATTAACATACTTTTTTTTTCTAAAGTTTTTGAATTTCTTGTCAAAACATGATGCCTTGGAGCTGGAAAATCCATCTCTGACATCAACGCCTGTCTGCAGCCAGAAGGTTGTGGTGACCACCCCTCTCCATCGGGATAAGACGCCACTGCTGCAGAAGAATCTAGCGTAAGTCATGTTTTAATGTCCATTGCTTATGATTGAGCTATAGTATTGAGGGATATTATTGTGAGTGTGTTTTCACATACACTATGCCAACATTTAGCAATAGAGAATCATCATTTCCACACGGTTAACGTTTTCCACAATTAGGGTGGCTGTTGGGAGGTTATGGGCTACAGAGTGGGTATCAGCCATAAAAACAGCTCCTCTAATGCTGAGGTTTAGGTTGCATCACACCAGCGTGTTATGTATGGGAGGGTTCTGCATTGAGAGTGTCTTCACTTTGTACGGTACACTGCTGATGTGGCCTTCGGTCATGTGACCCACAACCAGAGCACCAGAGAGCCTGTGCTTTACAATCAACAGACGTGTTTAGGCTCACTCCTTACTGGCCTTCCCACTTTCCTTTCTGATTCTGTAAAGCAGACATATCTTTAATGCCTAGGTCAGCATGTTTGCGGCATTTTTACAGGGGAAAAAAGTTCAGAGCCCTTACCAAGCTGAGCCGTCCTTTTGTATATGGGGTACCTGTTCGAATACAAATACGAAGGCTGCTGTTGCTTTTTTTTTTTTTTTCTTTTTTTTTCACACTGTCTCTAAAGTCAACCTGATCAAGCATGTAGCATTTGAAGTCAAAAGGGACAGTCTACCTGCTTGTGCTGATCTGTGAAAGTTTTGAAGCAGGCTACTAGTCTTTTCAAATAAGAGTACAGTAATGGAGCATATGTATTTCTCAGCAGTTTTCTTTAATTCAAATATGTGTTTTGCCAATTGGGAAGTAACTTTTCTTCTTGCTGCTTTGTTTTAGATTTGTCACTCCAAATCACAAATTTATGGGGGAGAATGCACCTCACACCCCTACACCGTTTAAAAATGCATTGGAAAAGTTTGGCTCAAGGCCATTGGTAAGTAATTTTTTAATCTGGAATACTCAGTCAGGGCCCTACCAGCAAAATGTTTTGGGAAACAGACTGTTAGGGCCCTGTCACACCAAGAGTGTGTTCCAGTGCGTTTGGCCTCTGGCCGGGTTGCGTTCCAGAGGCCGAACGCGCTCTTGATGGTGTGACTGGGCCCTTAGGCTACTTTCACATGGGCTGACAAGGAGAGTATCCATGCGCGGATCCCCTCCTGATCATAGTAATATGGAGCAGATGTCACCTCTGTGACATCCGTGTCTGTACAGTTTTTTTTCCCAACATCTTGCATTGGAAAAAAAACTGTAATTACCGGATCCCATGCCAGTTTATGGGGAATCAGATGTAAACGGATATGTGTCCATTTACATCAGATTACACACAATCCGGTCTGGCGAAATGGAACACTTTCACTCGTTTTACCAGATCCGGCTGGAGGCGGGGGTAACAGGGTGCAAACGGACGCTAGTCCGTTTACACATGGCTGCCCATAGGCTTGCATTGGACATCTGATCGGGTCCGCCTAAAAAAACCTGACAGGCGCACCTGATCGGAGCGGCCACGTGAAAGGGGCCGTAGGACTCTAGGGCACTTTGCTGTAACACTCAGTGGGATGTTTTCTTCTGCAGCCCCCTACTCCTCACCTGGAAGAAGATCTGAAAGAGGTCCTACGCAGTGAGTCTGGCATCGAGCTGATTATTGTAGATGAGCCGAACCATGATCGCCACAAAAGGAAACCCGGGGTAACTGGCTTGCTTTTGCTCAGATAAGGGGGGCCTTCATCAATATAGTTTTGCCACAGCTCCCACTGACAGGAAAATTACATCTGGGGTCTTAACGGGACAGTGGATGGGGGTATATTTAGTACAGGTATTTTATATAGCACTGGCAATTTATAAAGGGATTTGCATATTGTAAATTAACACCGGTCCTTGCGGTTACATTTGAAGGTCCATAACACGCACACACAATGGGCAATATAGACAGGAGCTAATTAACCTACCAGGGTGTATTTGGAATGTCCGAGGAAACCAGAGTACCCAGAGAAAACCCACACAAACACGGAGAACATGAAAGCATTAAGGTTTGGTTTAGTTTAGGACTATGTAGCAAACAACCTAGCATATGCAGTGCAGGAGTCAGGACTATAATGCACAGAACAGTTTGCAGATTTCAAAGGTCAAGAGTTAGTGCCCCTCTTGTGGTGGTGGGTGGCGATTGTCCCTTTTTAAATGTGTGCCATCTGAAACATTTGTGATAGCGGTGAGTGCCTCATAACTCTTGGTGGCCACCTTTATGGTCAATATGCCCCCTTGCTGCAATGTGTACCCTCTTGCTGGTCAGTGTTACCCCCTAACTGCTGAGTGTGCCCTTTTTGTGATTATTGTGCCCCATTTAGTTGGTGGTCAGTAGAGTTGCTTACCTGGGAAGCGCTGCACAGGTCCTGCACTTCTACCATCTCTGCTTTTACATTTTGTTTAGACTTTGTAATCGCTGTGATTTTATCACCGCAATCACAAGATACAGAGCTACTCTGATTAGGTTTTAAAAAAAATATTGCCTGTTATCTGCGCTGTCTAATGGCAGCACAAGCCTAATGCATGCACACGGTGTAACAGAAGTGCATTTTTAAACATCCCCTTAGAGTAACAGGTCCCCTGACCGGCCGTTTAACTGCAATGGTTGGTCAGGAGGTGTTTAAACATTTGCACTAAAATGTTGAGGTGTTATTTCTGTGAAAATATAGATTTGATAATAATTTGCATACATATGCAACAATATGGGCATTTTAACATGTGCAATAAATGAAATTATTGGTCCCGCAGGGAATAAGTTAAAGCCTTTGTTCTCAACTGGTGGGTCGTGACCCAAAAGGGGGTCGCGACCCCGTGTTCAGTGGGTCGTCGTGTGCCTTCCACTTTTCTAGGCGAGAGGCTCCTCAGCCTCCCTCTAGCGCAGCACTGTCAGTTCTCTCGCCAAGCGGCCATTAAAATTTGCTGCCCAGTGTCGAGTGACCGCTTGAGGTGGGGTGGGCAGGGGGTATGGCTCTGAAGGAGCTCCATCCATATGTGCATTGCTTACAGCTCCCTCGCATATCCTGTAGAGGTCCCTGGACTGGAGTGACATCTCATTCTGGCTCCCTAGACCTCTACAGGGTGCGCAAGGGAGCTGTACAAGCACTGCACATACGAATGAAGCTCCGTCACAGCGCAGCAACCCACACTGGACCCCAGGCTTAGGATCCCCTCCAGTTCTTATAAGGTTCACACTAGTACAGTGCGTCAATCGCATAGTACCGTGCGACTAACGCACTGTACCACGCAATCGCACCTAATGTGCATCCATTTGAATGGTACCTCAAAAGCACCACTCACCCACAGTTCGTACACCTGTACCTAAATGCCGTGCGTTCCAGTGCAGTGCGACTTAATGACCAAGGACAAATGTGGGTCCTGAGGTTACACAGGTTGACAACCACAGGGTTAAAGAATGCGGCTAAATCTAAAATTGTCATTTAATACTGGAGATGACCTCTGGCATTCATGTAAAGCCAAATCTGGTTCTGTCATGGACGGAGGTGTAAGTTATCTTGGCTGGTGACCTCTGTAGGTGGCATAAGTTGTCACTTCTTTTCCCAGCCCCTTAACTACTCTTTCCATTACAGATTGTCTCTGTACTGGCTAATCAGTTTCCATAAAAGCAGATCAGCGGTGGCAGCTTCCATATTTATATCCAAACAGGATCACTAAGTATTGCTTTAAGTGGCAGGAAGCAACCGAATGCTGTTTAGAGCACACATTTTAAGTCCGCATGTAGTTTTCCACTGGGTAGCTTTGTGATTGATTTATTGGTAAAGGGGACTTGTAAACTGACAGTATCATCCTTCAGCAGATCTCTGTAAGGAAAAATGTCTTTCCAATGTCACATTCTGGTCTGAAGCTTCATGTAATACAAGCGCCTGGCTCAGTTTATCATATAAATGGATTGTATGTAAGGCAGAAGTAGCCTTTCCATCAAACTGCTTTTGATGAATGAGACCTGACAATATTTCTAGAAATAGACTGTGTAGAGATACTTGGCATAATGTGCTATGTCCTTTCCATCCAGCATCCTCACAGTCCTATCAAGAAAGTGCGCAAGTCCCTGGCGTTGGATATTGTAGACAAGGAGATTAAGCCTCCCACATTGTCTCTCTCATCGGCTGCTTCACATATACAGGTAAAGTGAAACTGATGCTGTCTTAGTGATGCCCATTGTCTAAGCAGACTGGGGGATTGTATTGAGTAGCCCAGCAACAGAAAAACCCGAAACTATTACCTTAAAGACATATTCCTGTTCCATTTTATAGCTTCTCTTCTCCGGTCTGGTGTGATTCCTGCTATGGGCCCTACAAATATTCCATTCAAACACTGGCCATACCCTGTAGATTGATATTTGCTCTCTCTGCCAGACATGCCTCGCATACGACTCAACATGGACCTGGCAGTTGGCCTGTTAGGCACCAGTTGCCTCATTTTGGTCCCTTGTGGATCGGGGCATTGGATGGCAAATAAAAGCACTTTTTTTTCCCCTACAGGTTCTCTTTAAATTGCACTCGTTTTTATAGATCTGCATACATCTTTAACAAATGGTATATAATCCCCTGTGCACCTATGCTCCCTGCCTATTGCAAACATTGTTGATGTTCTCCTGTATTGCTATAGCCTCTATCTGTACTGTGATGCTGCTGTCTTTGTTGCTAAGTAACAATTATTTGGTGTTTTTTTGTTTTGTATTAAGGTCAGTACAGATAAGCTGCTGTATTTTGTGATCTGCAGAATTGGCCATAAAATATCTAGGAAGTATGCTGAACTTCTGTAGTGGAGGGCTTTGCTTGGCATTAGAAGTAAAGACAAGGGTTCAGAGCTTAATTATAAGAGATAATGCGTTTGCAACTCTTGGGAGGGACAAACTTACGCTGGCAGGAAACCTGGCAACTTTTGCCTAAGGTATTCACTATACAGCTGTGTGTCATAAATAGAACGGGTTCATATTTTGCACTCTTAATTTTAATGCAAATTCAAAATGGCACAATCTCTTTAATCCGCCATGATGATTGAATTACAAATATGGAATCCCACAGGCACTTTGAAGAGAAAAGCAGCTTGATGAGACATTGGTCTTCTGATCTAGAAGTGTCTCCCATGATGGTTGTAGTACTGTACAGGCCTCCCCTGTACACAATGTCTCTTCCTGATTGTACAATAGAGTTCGGGCATCCCCTGCACCCCATCGTTTCCCACACAAGGTATATAATGTACAAGCATCCCTTGCACCCTGAACGACTACAGAGCAAAGGAATTCTGACTTTGATGCATGCTTGTTCTAGGTCTGTGACTTATAATTGCTGAAACCAGGCAACCAGCATCCCCAGGAGGCCCTGCTTTGGCAGCCCCCATGTCTCTCATGATGGGTGTTTTTCACTGCAGTACTCTGAACCGAGAAATGGTAATAACAAACCACAGACTATTTGCTAAAACAGACAGACTGAAATATGATTGCCAAGTTTTCCACCTGCTATGTGAGTTTTGTATTCCTCTGCGGGTTAGGACTGCTCAAAAATCATCTTTTTCTGCCAGCTGAAGTTTGCCTAGTTTCTTTTAGAAGGTGGCAGCTGATAAAGCTAATTTGTTCATTTCATTTGTTTTGCTTTCTGTCATTTCTAATGCCATCATACGTTTTCATCTCAGGCACAGAGCTGCGAGAGCTTCCTGTCCATATCTCTGAACGATTCTTCATGCAGCAGCAAGGAGGAAAACAGTCTTTTGAACCAGGGATTTGTCCAGGTCATGTCGGGAAAAGGATCTTTTGCACTTGGTGACACCTCACACACTGACATTGGAGAACTGGTTAAAACACATGAGTCTGCTCTTCACAGAGCTGGCAAGGCCATGCCAGTTAAGACTGAGCCTGCTGCTAATGTAGCCACAGACTCTCCATCCTGTATGATGGTGGACATGGACAAAGTAGTGAGAACATCACTTAATAACAGCAAAGCTGCAAGTCTGAAAGCTGATACAGGTGTAACGGTACAGGGTGAAAAGCAGGCAGTGACGCGGGTGGAGAAACTCGGGACTCCAGAACCGGTAAGCCATTTCTTAAAGGAGACTATTTTGATGTGGGTGTGTGTATATATTATACAGATGCAATCAAAATTATTTAACCCCCATTGCAAATCAGGTTTTTTGGCAACATTTACAAACTTTCAGCTGTTTGCAAACGCAATTGAAATGGGTCAATACAACGAATGTTTCAAGTGGTTTCCCCAAACTCTACTGACAATGCAACTTTTAATGACTGCCGCCATCTCAAAATTCATCCCCCTGAGGGCTTTTTCACACCATGTCCAGACCAGAACAGTTTATTCCCGGACAAAAAAAGCATCCCAATGTATCCCTTTGGTATTTCTGGGCTCTGATCACACCAGCGCAGTCCGTTCCAGTCCAGACAAGAAGATACTGCTTGTTTCATTTTCCTCTGGTCTGAAATCCACAGAAACGCATACAAATGCACTGATCCACACCTTAAAGGCCATTTGTAGCTATAAAAAAAAAAATGCTTCTGAACACTGCAAAATCATGGCAAAACGCAACATGAAATGCTTGATCTGGCAAGGGGTTTGTTGAGTGTCATGTTTGACTGCATGTTAGAAATACGGCAATAAGTCAGAGAAGAGATTATTGCCCTTCACAAACAAGAAACGGGATACAAAAAGATAGCAATGCTGTTTTGCATTCTTTGGCACTGGAAACCTGCAGCGTGTGGAAGGCAAGATGGCTTCATTAGATTAAACAAAGTACTGCGCTCCCTGAATAAACGCACAAATTGCTACTATATGAATGGTGGTGGTGCCCCCCCAACAAATAGTGTCAAAGTGTACCAAAATCAATTCAGAATTTGCTATTTGCTCAATATCAATTCAAAACTACTTTTCCTACACTGAGTTTTGCCAGACAAAATATGTGAAAAAAACAAAGCGCAATATATTATAATGCACATAGGGTAAAGTGCTATACATAGGTGTATTATAATACATACCTATGCTATACATAGGTGTCCTAAATCAACCAGTGTTTCCTAAAAAGCCATGCAAGTCCACAGTGAAGTGTTTTAATCCAAAAATACAAGTGTCCAAAGGTGATCCAAACGCCAACACACCCCAGTGTTCAATCATGAGGAACTTTTCCGCACTCACCAGATATATGTGGCCCTGAATTTATAGATGAGCCACATACAATGTATTCAATATCCAAGTGTTCCTTCCAACTTGTGCTTCTTATTCCTACCAAAGTGTTACAAATAGGGATACACCAATACTAGTATCAGGGCCGAGTACTCGCCCAAATGCTCTGATACCTTCCCTGATACCGCAACAGGCTCCATGCTGATTGACTGGGAAGCCGGCTCCATGCCGATTGGCTGGGAATCCGGCTTCCCAGCCAGTCGGCATCAAACCAGCCAAACATGGAGCCGGCTTCCCAGGAAATCAGGAATCTTATAAATAGGTTGTAGTTTGGGGTTTTTTTTGTTTTTTTTTAGTCAGCAGATGGCGCTCTAGTCTCCTTTTTTAAATGCTTCAAATGGTCTTTAAAAACACGATGTGTGATGGGGAAAAAAAAAAAAAGCTCAATGCTCAGGGTACAGTGTGCACCTAGAGTCCAGAGGTGCTCCTACAGTACAGTGGGAGATTGAACCATTTAAAGGCTAACATAGCTACTTGCAGACACCAAAGGGTGAACATACTTCAGCACTGTTACCTTTTAGAAGTTTTTTTAGGCCAGGTCGGGTTCACTTTAAAGCTGAGCTCCAGGTAGAGCTAAAACACCATTTAAAGTGGAAGGAAAGTCTAAAGAAAAACATAATGTTTAGACCCCATTCACACTGAGCTACATCCAAAAAAGAGCGGCATTCAGCGACAGTGCACATTTTGTCGCGCTACGTAGCGTGACTTTTCGCAGGGACTTTGTGGCTGCTACATTGGGCTGTAACCAATCAAAATTGGTGTTGATGTGACATCATTCCTTCTTTCTTATATTTCTGTGCAAAAGTGACACTTCTGTAGTGCGACAATGAGCTACACCATTAAAGTCTATTGAGCCAAATCGCAAAAAATCAGCCAAAAAATAGGCAATGTTTGAGCTACAGGCGACATTGAGATGTGAACAGCTCCATTGAAATGCATTGGACAAGGTACATTGAGCGACATTGAGCTGATATTTGAGCGATTTTGGAGCTTAAATCGCTCAGTGTGAACGGGGTCTTAATGTTCATTTTGCTTACTGTTCTGCTCACATGGGGTAACCATTTTATCCCATAGTTCTCTTTAGGGTCATGGGAGGACATATACTAACCTCCTCCGGTGACCCAAAGCTCAGTATAAAGTGAGCTATTGCCCGCGATATACTGAGAACGCCGAAGCCAGGACGGATCCCGACAACAGTGTCAAGATCCACCCAGCTAGCTGTTTGCCAGCTGGATCTGCCTATCTAGAGACAGCCAGCAGTTCGCAGCCCCTCCCCTGTCCGTTCCTCCAGCGCTGGAGGATCAGAGGGGAGGGGGGAAATCCCTGCGGGGAGCAGTGACTGACAGTCGAACACATACCACTGATCGCTCACTTCCCGATCAATAGAGCCAACGTGTGACAGTTTCAATGTCACACGTCGGCTCTAACTATGGGGATGAATGTAATTCACTCACCTCATAGTTCTCCTTTAACGCCTCCATATAACTGCATCTATATAGATATTTTGTTTTTATTTTTAGCCTTCTACTGTCAGGTTATATTGCCACCTACAGAAGGACTGAGTACTGCCAAGCAAAATATTGTAGGCCAGGCCATGGATAACCTCTTCTGTCTCCAGTTTGTTTGCTAGTGTCCTAGGTGGATGGATTCCTTCAGCACTGTTTGAGAAGTCTAACCAATTTATTTTCTCGTGCCTTTTTTCTTTGATATTTTTTTGGGGATTTCTTCTTCCGTTGACTGCATTCAAGTTTGCTCACTACATTGTTGCTTTTTTTGGCATGGCAGCTGTCTGGATCTGCCTTTTCTGAGCTTAGCTTTAGAGTGCTGACCCGGACCTCGTCAGAGTGGACTTGCAGGACTAGCCTGGAAGTCTCTTGTGGGCACTGGGTTCTGCTTGTGGCGCTTTCCAGACCCAGTACTGGTAAAAAATGGCCATGGAGGACTTTCCATGTCCTGAGCGGTTAGCACGACCTTTGCGTTTGCCCTGTCTCTAAATACTCTGTTGAGGATGCCAGTCAGGCTGAACATTGACCGCAACATCTTTATTTTCACTGCTGGTCACCATTTTAGTTTTCCTGCTACCCCTGGTTTTACCATGGAAGGTGTTCACACTGAGGGATTGAGGTATATTGTTTGCTTGATGAAGTGTTGCATGCACATGCTGTGCGCTCTCTCCCACCATTCAGTGTAGAGAAAGCATCATCCTGCTGTTGCTCTTGCTTTGTGAAACGTCACATGGAGCTCTGATCTTAAGTCCATTCCTATTGCCCACCTACAGTGACTCTGATCACCTCCAACCATCTGACCCTTATCGGCCTGTTGCCTGGGTTTGCAAGCACCTGAGGTCTTGCCTCAAACCTTGAGCCTACCGTAGTTGCGTGACCGCCACGCTGTCACATGTCTGTATCTAGACACAGAGTGAACAGTCCTGCTACAATTGACCCAAGTCCACACTCCCCTAATGGTCCCAGAGACCTTTACTTTGCACCTTTTTAAGGACACAGATGATTGAAATCATGACCCTATTGTTATAGGGTCTACTTCATGAGTCTCCCCTACTTTGGTCACGTGAGGCAGAGTCCCTGATCCTGTCGTCAGGGGCCTCTACTGCAGTCATGCAAAACTTTACCCAGCTCTCACATAATATGGTACTCCTTGATCCATCAGGTCACCTGGGTTCAGCTTTGGCCTAATGTCTTTTCCTGGCATCACCATTGTGCAACACTTGGACAACCTTCCATTTAATAGAGCAGCCACGGAGGACCCTAGCAGTCATTCTCTCCTGAAGGCCTTTAATGCCTGTAAGATCCAGGTGGATCCGGCTTCAGCGTTGGAAGCCACTTATAGGTGGTGTTATCCAGCATAGTTTCTCACTGGAAGGGTTCGCGGCATGTTTGACCTCAGGTCCCTTATTACAGGGTGTGTTACCCCCTCTCTCCTACTTGGCAGGAGCCTTTGGTGTTGTGTGTCCTTTTCAGAGGCACTTCTTAAGGCAGTAGTCTTAAGAAGACTAAGGTGTCTGCCTCTGAGAACCAGGTAGTTCCTGGCAGGATCACTCAACCCTCCCCATCAGAAACCTGACAGGGTCTGTTCTCCCCATTGTTGAGGTGTTCCTCTCTCCTTGGGCTGAGTTTTGGATTTTTCCAGTGCAGGTGATTACTACACTGGGATTAAATCTTGGGATCTCTCCTTCAATCCGTTTATTTGGACACTGCTGAATCCAATCTAGGTAATACTGTGCTCATCTGAAAGGAACAGGATTCTATCGTAAGGTAAGTAGTGGTCGACTGATATCTTTATTTTTATTTTTTTCAAGAACCGATACAGATTATGGGCCACCTTTCAGGCCGATAACCGTCATCGGGTACTAATATTCTGGTTCCATCCAGCTGCAGAATGTTGCACTGGTAGCTGAATGTAAACAGGCAGTGGGCCTGATATCGGCCGACCGCCTAATGATGCAATAGCCAATAGCAGGTTGGCTATTGTACCCGCCCACTGCCTGCTTTCAATCAACAGAGTAGCGGACCTGAGAGAGAACTTTCTCTCAGATCTGCTCATCAAGAAATCCCTGCTTTTGATTAGCTGGTCTTGTGCCTGCAAAATTTTTTTCCCCAGGTTCCTTGTCTGGTACCTGTTTCCATTAAGGACTTGTTCCCTCTCCTTGATAAACATTTTTGGTTTCTGGGTTTTTTTTCACTCCTAAGTGGGAGTTTGGGATTCTCAGTTTCCTCCTGGTTGTATTGATATGCTTCCTTATAAGTTAGGGGCCTCAACCGGAGTCGGATTGGTCTTTTACGTGGCTCTTGGGCTGCAGGTAGCCCTCAGTTCTGGTCTTATTGGCCCCGCTAGCAGTTGGACAGCTTTTGGATGTCCTGACAGTAGATGACTTCCTGTGCCCCTCAATGCATGAGAAAGAAAATAGGATTTTTTTTATTCGCCGCAGAATCCTTTTCTTGGCGTCCTATGGGATACCGGTCACACCGATCTGTGTGTTTACTGTCTTGGTAATGCTTTGCTACAAAAATTGAGCCATGCTAGATGTAGAAGGTTTTTTTTGTGTCCTGTAGGGGGCAGTATAACCCAACAGTAGATGCCTTCCTGTGTCCCTCAATGGATTTCAAGAAAAGGGTTTTATGGTCAAAGCAAACATTTTATTTTAGCTGTTCAACTCCAGCAGTCAGACTATTGACATTCAAATATTTACTACTTCTTAGCAATACCTAGAATAATAGCATGTGGAGAGTAGCTGAGGTCAGAACATGTACAGAGATGGCATTTGTATACTCTTGCGGCTTTTGTTATAACTGTTTCTCATTATCTTGCTATTATTAATCGCTGTGATCACCCACTCAGTGCAAAGCCGTAGCATCCACCCCTTCGACAATACCTTTTTACTAAGTGTCGTAGGAAGGAAAGTTTTTTTTTTTTTTGTTTTGTTTGGAAACCTTTTTAAAGTTAATACATCTGAAAGTTTAAGTGGAAGAAAGGCTACAAAAAGGTTAAATTGTTCATGCTGATTTCTGTACGGATTATAAAGCTAGAGAAGAATTGACTGCAGGTGTTCTCATCGCAAACAACATCCATCTCGCTATTACTATGCCACCCATGGCTCCCACACAGATTCATAATTAGAGGAATTTAAATAATTATGCCCTCTCATTGCGAACATGTACAACCGAGTTAAAGGCACCACATTATATTTTACTGCAAATCGTGATCGGGCAGGCTGTTTACTAGTTCTAAAAAGTGCTGGGAGATGGGTCTCTTTGCTCAATGTGCTTTAACGGATCATTATTTCAGCCATAGCAGTAGCAGTTGCTGCAATCACAGTCATTATGGTGAGAGGATTGGGGTGCATGCTAAATATGATCTGCTGCGTTCTGCAATCATCAAGATTTATATTCTTCATTTACAGTACAGAAGACTGATTATTTATACAGTGCAATAGAGTCCTAAAGAATCATTTACATCAATGTCTACCCCAGAGGAACTCGCTATCCTTGGTTTACACCTTAGCCATACTTTCACTGCACACTAGGGCCAGTCTTGGCTGCAAACCAAGTACACGGAACTCATTTTTTTTTTTTTTTTACAGCTTTTAGATTTACCTGAGGAGAATGTGAACAGATAAATGTAAATCTTAATGAATGTGAAGGTTTAAAACTCTGGATCTGTGTATAATCAGTAAATATAAATGTGCATTGTGCAGCCATATTTGCTCTAATACTGCACTGTAATCGTGCATTACCACTCCTTCTATGGTTGCCAAAACATTAGAATAAATAGTTTTGTGCATAATCTTTTATTATTGTCCGCACCCCAATATTATTGTTCATAGCAGTCAGATGGCTTTCATCATTTTTGGTTAAATGGATACAGGATTATGATTGGTTACTAAGAGTGGCACACTTTTTATACATCATCCCCTATAGGACTAAATTGAAACACATACACCTACTGAATGCTTCCGTTTTTGATTCCGACATTGCTGCATTTTACTTGTTCACCTTACTTTTTTCTTTGTCTTTAATGTGGTGCTCTGAGAACCCTTTGTGATGCAGTAGAGCTCTTCCAATACATACCGAGGGGAATTGATCAAAACTGGAGCAGACAGAATCTGAAGCAGTTGCCCAAAGTAACCAATCTGCTTCTCTCTTCAGTTTGTCCAGTTAAGATTTGAAAATGAGAGCGAGAAGCTGATTGGTTACAATGGGCCACTGCTTCAGATTGTCTGTCTGCTCCAGTTTTGATAAATTCCCCTTACCCAGTGCTGGCAGTGCTCTTCCTTCGGGAGGGTGGCTACGTTTGTCCCCCATGGTCCCTGTATGTTTTTTGTAAAGTAGTCACCGCTCCAAGCTCACTCCCATGATGGAATACAATCTCAATATGATTTGGTAAACTAAACATTAGATTGTAGTCCATCTTGCCATGAGATGAAGAAGCAATGTCAGCCTCCAGCTCCTTTTTAAAAGCAAAACTCCAGCTTTAATGTGCCTATTTTTGTCCAGGAAAGCTACTTTAGAGCTAAGCCCCGTTTACTCAGCATTCCTCTGTTCAGAGAGTTTGTCCTAACCTGCCAATTGGTAACCCCCATTAGATGCATGCCAAGGTGCTTGGCCTCAAGCTTGTGGATAGCAAACCCTTAAGCCCCATTCCATTCCCAAACTGCACGTATCTGTACCATGTATGATTACATGCGGACTGCCACTGTCACCCTGTCATTAACTTTAAATGGGTACAGCGGCTACATCTCCCTGAAGGTCCAGAAGGCTGCATAAGTCCCCTTGTTAATGGGGCCTTACTAGCAAAGTGTGGCCAGGCTCAGGGGGTATACAAGAGATTTGAAAGTAGTACTATAAAGCTAGCCTTAGATGGTGCAATCAGATTATACAATGTCTTTAGATTTGCCAAAGATATGTAATGTGAGGACTTTATACAGATTACAACTGAATTGGCCTTTCTAACTGGATCTAGTCTGCTTTAGGCAAGCCTTTTTTACTTTTAGGATGGCTCTGAGGTTTGCTGTAAGATTTCTGTGAATTCTGCCTGTCTGCAGTCTTCCATTGACCCGTTCTCTTTCTTTCAGATGAGTCACGCTTGGAAGATCATTGCTTTTGGTGGCTCCAAGGACCAGCTACTTATGCAGGAAAAAGCACGAGCAATCCTGAACTTGTACAAGCCCAGCTCTACTTCTCGAGCCCTTATCCTGTCTTGATACATTCCTTCAAACTGTAAAAGTGTAGTGCAGACGACATGGCCCTCACTGCCCAGATTGACATCGGATTCCACAGGATTGTTGTCATGCGGTTGCTTACGTGGACTCAACCGCATTTGTATATTCTCCAGACGACCGAAATGGAGAAAGTTAAAAGAAAAAAAAAAAACCTCAGATTGCAGCTAAGTTGTCTTTGGTATGATCTTATGACTGCCGGTCTTTCAGTTTTTTTGTTTACTCGTTTCAGTACCTTGGAAAAAAGACTCCACACATGCACCTACACATATCAAGCGCCTCTGTTTTTCTTTTAATATTTAAGTTATCCTCAAGTTGAAAGATAATTGACACCCTTCCTGTTTGCATGGGGAAGGCAATACCTTCCTGACATTGCTTGTCTCATATTGCATTCAGATGCCTTCAAGCAAAACTCCTCTTCATACAAGCCAGCCACTTGCTTTCAATCCCAAAACAGCTTTCAGATGTGGCTGTAAATCAAGGTTTCTGACTGCACAGTATTACAAGGAAGAGTCATTTAATTTAATAAGTGAGAATTCTTAAGAAGTCAGTTGAATTTCATTGAATTTAATAAGCGAAGATCTAGAGAAGATGATGTTTATTACTGGATTTTATAAGTGAAATGTGGACATGGAACTTTTGACCCTCACAGGATTTGTAGAAGTATTTTCTAGAAGAAGTTTCTGCCTTGCTACCTTGGACCAAGAACTGAAAAATTCAGTACTTGACTGCTGGTAACCTATATATTGTAGTTTTGTTTCCTGCATTTGGTTTTTTTGTAACTCGTGGGGTGTTTAAAGTAAAACACGTACATGATTCCTTTTTTGCATCTGAAAAACCTCACAAGGTAATAAGAACAGCTATAAAATGTTAATGGTGTTGATTTGCAGCTGTAATTACATCCTGAGTATTGGATTTATCGGACATGCATCTGCTGACTCAAGTTCCCATGATGACTGCTTGGTATCGTGGGATTAAAGGAAATTTGCCATTGCTGCCTCTCCTGAAATGCCAAATACATGGCAGTTATGCTTTGGCTTTTGATACTTTAAGTCACTGATCTGGGACGACCTGTAGACCTTTCCTTTGACTTTGGTACATGCTTGTTGTAGGTCTCTAACTCAGAGGAACTGCAGGTGTAGAGCCAGTTTAGTAGAATTTTCATTACAGTGATGGCAGACCACACACACTTTTCTTCCAGATGAGTCTTGCTTGGAAGATCAATGCTTTTGGTGGCTCCAAGGACCAGCTGCTCATGCAGGAAAAAGCACAAGCAATCCAGAACGCATACAAGACCAGTCTAATTCTTGGACCCTTATTCTGTCTTGTATAGTATAGATGTAGTGCAGAGGACATGTCCATCCCTGCCCAAAGTCACCGGTTTGCACAGAATTGTTGTCATGCGGTTGCTCATGCAGGAAAAAACACAAGCAATCTAGAACGTATTCAAGACCAGCTCCAATTCTCAGACCCTTATTCTGTCTTGATCCACAGTATATAGATGTAGTGCAGAGGACATATCCATCACCACCCAGATTGACATTGGTTCGCAGAAACGTTGTCATGCGGTTGCCAGTGTTGACTCCAACTGCATTTGTACATTTTACAAACAGAAAAAGTGAAGAATGAAGTCGGATTGCAGCCAGGTCCACTTCAATATTGTCTTATGACGGCCTGTCCTTTCAGTGTTTTTTTTTTCTTTCCTTTACTGGTTTCGGTTCTTTGGGGGGAAAAAAAGTGTGCACATTGCTTACACATATCCAGCACCTCCTGGTTTTCTTTAAATATTTAAGTTAAGAGAACTATGGAGTAAGTGTTTTTCCCCATAGTTCTCTTTAAGGTCACGGGAGGACATATGCTAACGTCCTCTTGTGACCCAAAGCTCAGTATATAGCAGGCTATTGCCCGCAATATACTGAGAGCGCCACAGCCGGGATAGATTTTGACAATACGGTACGATCCACCCAGCTGCGTGAGTGACAGCGGGCTCTGCCTATCGAGGCAGAGCCAGCTATGCTCGCCCCCTTCCACGTATGTTCCTCCACTCAGCGCTGGAGGATTGGGGAGGGGGGAGGATCCCTGCAGGGAGAGGTGACTGACAGTCACGGCTCTCTACAGGGAGATGATCAGAAAGTGAGCGAGTGACGGTATGTGTTCTCACTTCCCAACCAATAGAGCCGACCTTTGACAGCTTCTTTATCACAGGTCGGCTCTAACTATGAGGATGAGTGGAAATCACTCACCTCATAGTTCTCCTTTAACTTCAAGATGTAAGATAATTGACACTCTTCCTGTTTGCGTGGAGAGGTAAAACCTTCCTGATATTGCTGGTCCTCATATTGCATTCAGATGCACATAACACATTTTTTTTTTTGTACACCTTGAAGCAAAACTCCTCTTATTACAAGTTAGCCACGTGCTTTCTATCCTAACACAACTTTTCAGATGCAAATCAAGGTTTCCAACTGCACAGGATAACCAGGAAGAGTCATTCAAAGTGAAAATTCTTAAGACATTTGAATATCATTGAATTTAATAAGTGACGATCTACAGAAGATCCTGCTTATTACTGGATTTAATAAGTGAAACATGCAGTGTTTAAAGAACTGATGAAAACAAATCCATAACGAACTGTTGCAGTGTGGGGGTATCCCAACTGTAAGGGTGAAAGTGCATTTACATTTTTGCAATAAAATTTTGGAAAACCTCTTTATATGTTTTGTTCATATTCACACCGCATACCGAACATTTATTTTTTCAAAGATATTTCTTGCCTTTTTAGATGTTTTGTTGCAACAGCCGACATTGCTGATTCCAGGTTTTTCCTCAGGACCTTCAAAGGGATCGGTTTTATAGAAAGCCTTCACACTGTTCTATTTTCGTTCAACCCGTGGACCTGAAGGGAAAAAAAAACAAAACGTAGAACAGAAGAATGCTTGTAAGCGTTGATCGAGGAGTCCCCCTCCCTTCACTTCCTCTGTATTCTGACAGCGGCTCCTGTCAGAATACACAAACGGTGCTGGCAGCTGATTGGCAAATATAAATCATTAGAAGGATAATCAAGTATACATTTTAACCCTTATGGAGCCAAGAAACCCTAACCCAAATAAAATAAATTTAAACTGCAAGATTTTTTTTTTTTTTTAGCCTATGTTATATGAATGAGAAGATGTAACAAATAAAAAAAATTAAGTGTTTTCCTTATTTGGCTGCAAGAGTGGAAATACACTGTTAAGTGCTTGTTTTGTCTTGGGCATTCAAAGCAGATTTGCATGCTTAATCCTTTCCTTGGTCCTGGCGGCTCCCTCCACGCTGCTTGACCAGTCCCCAAAACCTCCTTTTCCCTGGGCTCTATCGGTCTAAGGACCACTGACATCATCGCTTCCTATGCAGATCCATTGACCTTCATTAGATGTGAGTACGCCGAGGGACATTCTATAGCTGGAGTGAAGGAGTGCTGATTTGTCGCAGAAACTAAGATCATGTGAGGTGCACTGCTTCATTTGAGCCCCCTAGACACAATGAGCACATAATCCTTACAGGGTGGTTGTAGCCCCACTGCAAGGGTAAGGTGTCCGCCCCCCCCTTCTTGCTGGAGTTCTTTAAAGTAAAACACGTATATGACTTGTTTGTTGGAGCCGAAAAGAACTTCACAAGGCAATAAGAGCCACTATAAAATGCTAGTGGTGCTGTTCAAAATGTTCAATAAAGTTCTGATTTGCAACTGTAGACTTCAGCCTGGTGATTGGATTTATTGGACTTAAATCTGCTGACTCAGGTTTCATGAGGTTTAATATCGCTTGGTAAGGTGTGATTAAAGGAAATCTGCCTCTGCTGCTCCCTCCTGAAATGCCAGTTTCATGGAGGTTATATTTTGGCTTTTAATACTTTTAATGCCTTGATCTGGAACTCCTTTTTCTTTTGACTTTTACTTAGTTCATTTGTATTTAAGGCCTATAGCTCTGAGGAACTCTGAGCTACCAGCATTTCTGTGTCCCTGGATTTAGTACATTGAGTTACTGAGTGCACACATGCAGGTCTCCTAATCATCATCCTTGTTTCAGATCAGTGGCTTAGAAAGTACTAAAGGAATGGTTATCGCAGCCAGGGCAATTGGCAGAGGTCAGCAGTGGCAGCTTCCATTTGATGAAGTTCTGACTGCCCAGCCCTACCTACTTTATACATGCTTTGTGCGTTTAAGGTAAATTTCCCAACTTTTGCCCACAGTATGTAGGAAATGTAGCTCACTAATTATAAATGTGTTTTTGCCTGGTGATCAGGCATGGTGTCAGATTCCTCGCATCACCTTTCAACATCTCGTGGAGTCAATGCCAAGAAGAATCGCCGCAGTATTGAAGACAAAAGGTGGCCCAACGAAGTACTGATGGGGTGGTCATAATAATCTGGCCACTCAGTGTATAGCGCTAACAGTTTGTGCAGTGCTTTACAATATAAGGAAGACGTTACAATCGCAATACAGGACAAGATGTTAAGGAGGGCCCTACAATCTAAAAGATATATGTAAACTTTTCTTTGTTGTCCTTTGAGGAACACAGTAATTTGTGGACTTGGGTAATACTGCTACCTGCTGGACAGTCCAAGTTAACCCCCTCCTTTTCCCAGCATGCTTCAATTTATTTCTAGTGTCCTAGGAGGCTAGACCTCTCTTTTTAGCTCTGCTGAGAAAAGTTTAATCTTTTTTCTAGTCGCTTTTGTTCTTCAATTGAGATTTTTACTGCATTGCTCCTGAGCAGGTCTTTCTTCGCAGCAGATCAGCCGTTCCTCAGTCTGACTTTTAGAGTGCCATATTCAGACCCTGCTGCGTGGAAAGTTGCAGAGCGAGCCTGGAATGTGACCTTCAGGCACCGGGCAATGCGTAGTGCTTTTCAGACCTGTGTGTAAAAGTTTTCCACAGTGTACTTTCCTACATCCAGAGCCGTGCATTGTCTAAGCTCTGATTCCAGCCGACTGAACTATCTGGACTGGAGAGTCCAGTAGATACAGCGGCGGATTGATATCCGCCGCTGTACTCTCCCCGGA